ACGGCAGTAAACCTCCTGACTGGCTACGGGTCATGCACTACCTGCACACACTCAAGCAAGCAAACCCGTGAAGGCACAAGTGGGACAAAGCAAACAAAGCAAAAAGAAAAGCTAAATTAACAGAAATCACTTTTCTTCAACAACCTAGCCGTCCCCGGCAACGGCGCCAAAAACTTGACTCACTTCTACTGTCACTCCAGGAATTGGCCAAGTGAAACCACTTCCTAAAGTGTAGTATAGCGGGTTTGGGTTTAAATGTCAACCCGGGTCCTAGATTTGATGACTACTCGGTGAATTCTTGTTATCTAGCAATGAAACTTTGATGCGAGTCTAAACTAACAAACTAACAAAGCAAGTAAACGGTTGTATTCAGGTTAAGAGAGGTCACCCGGATATGGTTCCCCCTAGACTGCAGTTAAGCCGGATTGCAATTACCAAGTTCAATTTATATGACAGTTATACTGCGGGAGGTTCTTAAACAGCCTGAAGTCTCAACTAAAGGTCTTCAGACCCTCTCAATCCGAGTCTCTAGCGGGCGACTAACCTCCACCGGAGTAAACAGATTGAGGCCTTAACAAACAAAACCTCCACTACCGAAGTGAATCCGGTACAGAATAGTGAGTTGGCTCCTCGACTAAAGTCACCAACTCCCTACCTTCAATCAAGGATGCTCTATCAACCTAGGCAGGTATTCTCATTTTAGGTTAAAGCAGAAACAACAGGAATTTGATCAGGATTCAAGTCATTCAATCATTCAAACCTCAATCGAATATAATCAAATCATAGAATCAGTACTTGGGTTCATACAATCAAAGCCTAACATACAAATCTAGGGTTCTCCATACCCAGATGAATGGGAGAACTACTCCATGGAGAAAGAAGCAAAAGCAGAATCAGACGCGGAATTCATACTGTGAAGGATGGATTCCTGCTTCTGGACGTTGATCGGCACTTCTCCAAGCTCAAACTGGCCTCCAATGGTGTTGAAGATCAAGCTAGGGCACTTGGAGACTCTTGTTTGTCGCTTTCTCTCTCTAGGAATCGCTCTATCTCTCTCAAAACTCGAATCCCCTTCTGTTTTGGCTGAGATCTGCTTAAAAGGGCATCAGTGGCCAAAGCACGGTCGAGGGCACGGCCGTGTAATGCCTCAGGTGTGCCCGTGTTTTGGCTCCAGCTCAACGAAATGACTTCCGAATGCCCTGAAACTCGTGCTTAGCCTTTCCTTTGACGCCTGGGACCTGAAATATGACAAAATAGCACAACCCGGCATAAAATAGGCAAAAAACACACGACTATGCCTCTCAAACGGATAAGAACTAGTGGCGCAAATATGTGCAATTACATCGTTATCAATGATCTTGTTCTGGGAGGCAACGATCTATCAGAAATCCAAGCACTCAAACAGATGCTACACAGAGAATTTAGCATAAAAGATGTTGGAAATTTGAGATTCTTTCTTGGCATCGAGGTTGCTAGAAGCAACTCAGGGATTCATCTTTCCTAAAGGAAGTACACATTGGAAATTTTAGAAGAAGCTAATGTTATCGATTCGAAGTCTGTGACCACACCAATGGATTACAAATTGCATCTCAGCAATGAAGATGGCACTCTATTTGAGGATCCAGAACACTACAGAACATTAGTTGGAAAACTGATCTACCTCACAACAACTCGTCCAGACATTAGTTTCGCTACAAAGCAACTAATTCAATTCATGACCACTCCTTCTGTCACACATTACAAAGCTGTACTAAGGGTTCTACGATACTTCAAAACAACACCAACCTCTTTCCATCAAAAGGATCGTTTCAGTTGAAAGCTTTCACAGACTCAGACTGGGCTGCCTGTATTCATACAAGATGATATACAACAGGTTTCTGAATCTATCTTGGTGATTCCCTCATCTCTTGGAAGAGCAAGAAACAACATAACGTATCTCGATCCTCCTATGAAGTAGAGTACCGTGCTCTTGCCTTTACCTCTTGTGAGATACCACGGCTTCGATACCTCCTCAATGATTTCCACGTACCTTCTTCAGTCCCAATTGCTCTCTACTGTGACAATCAAAGCGCAATTTACATTGCAAAGAACCCAACCTTTCATGAACGGACCAAACACATAGAGTTGGATTGCCACTTCGTCAGAGAGAAACTTCAATCAGGCACCCTCAAGCTGCTGCATATCTCGTCCTCACACCAGCTTGCTGATCTTTTCACCAATCCAGTGTCACCAACTCCATTCCTCTCTTTTCTCTCCAAGCTTGGTGTGCAAAACCTCTGGCCACCAACTTGCGGGGGGGGGGGGGGGGGGGGGGGGGGGGGGGGGGGGGTAACAGATTGAAAATCCTTTTCCAATGCTCGACTCCTCTGCGACAACATTTTGCTCTTGATCTCGGAGTTGTTCGCACTGCTGCCGTTTTCTAGTCATATTGAAGTCGCCCGATGCGCTGTCGTTCTCGTAAATGCTCGACTCCTCTGCGACGACATTGCAAGTCAGAGTTGTTTCCATTCCAAGATATCAAACAAATGTAATGAACCTTGTCTTCTTCTTCTTTGATTTTTCTTTAAGAAGGCAGATAAGCTAATGAGAAAACTCAAGTGCTAGGTTTTATCACTTCACTTCTTCTTTGTTATTTTCCTTTAGCCTCCTGCTCCAGCCATATCCAAGTCACCCTCAGGGCAGGGGAAGAAAGCAGATTGAGCATCCAAAAATCCTCCAATTGCCCATGCCCTTCTAGCCGCTATCTGGGAGATCGTCAAAGGTGGTTGTTTCTGTTCCCTTCATCCATTTGCAACGACGAGGGTGCTCCATTCTCAGTCGTCGTCGCACACATTGTTGGGACTTTTATGACGAGGGTACACATACAATATACCAAGAACGAGTGATCAGGATTGTGATAGAGTCGTGAACAACGTTCACTTTCCGAAAAGAATATTTCCGCCCTTCATAAAGCCTTGGGTTACAGGAAATTTCCCGAGAGGATAAAACTATCACCACTTTAGGTTCTAGGCTCAAGAACACCAAAGAATACTTAGAAATTTTTGGAAGAAAGAATAAGAATATGTTTAATGGCGTGTGACATCATCCACCCCCCCCCCCCCCCACACACACACATATATATATATATATATGGGGAGTTCTATGGTACCCAGGGTGAAATCCGGGGTACTGCATATCTTGAGTAAGAAAACGCTATCCAGAACTTGAATTGACTGATATTTAGAACATGATACTATACTCTAACCCTTAAAGATCAAAATCAAAGTCTTAATTCTCTAAATCTTATACCCCAAGATCAATTTAATTAGAAACAATAATCGATGGTTATGATTCGTCCAAATATAGACAAAAAATCAATGCACCATCTTAGAGTTTATAGTTTATTATTTAGATAATTAGGACCTAGGGTTCACTCATTTAGGGTTAGGGTATAGTATCATGTCCAAAAATTCTGTTAATTCGATGTCTAGATAGCGTTTTCATACTCAAGGTATGTGGTACCCCGGATTTCACCCAGGGAACCGTAGAAGGCACTATATATATATATATATATAGAGAGAGAGAGGGGCTGAATACATGCATTGTTTCATGAAAGGTTGCCTTTATTCATACGAAGAGTTGTTTTTATCCATATGAAAGGTTGTCATTATCCATATGAAATGTTGACGTTATCCATATGAAAGGTTGCCCTAATCCATATGAGAGGTTGTTCCTATCCATAAGGACATTCTTATTCATAAAAAAATGCAACCGCCACTACGCCAAAGGGATTTGTCCCTTCATGGAATTAGAATATTGATTCAGTCGGCCTAATTCCACATCGGTTGGTCGGTCCAACCAAAAACATGTTTAACTTGATTAGTTTGGTTCAACCAAATATCCAACAGACATCCGATTGAAATCATTTCTCGCCAGGCCATTCCAAATCGAGTCGCTCCACGAATTTTCCCTTTCCGCAACTATTCTTGGTCGCCACGGAGTTCCCGCCGCAGATGATCTTCAGGACCACCGAAGAAGGAAGAACGATGATATAAAATTGAATTTTATTTTATTTTTAATGTATTTTGAGTAAACGGTGACATTTAGGGAATGGAAGTGAGCCCTTTCAGTTTGTGGGTCGAGATCGGACTGAACAAATTCAATTCAATCCGGTCACGGTTAAAAGCATATTCAACGCAATCCAATTTTCGGTTATACATTTAGAATAAATAGCATTAAAAAACCGGGTAAAATGGTCCAATTTAACTGAACCAGACCATTTTCCAGCCCGACTCAATCCACCCTGAAAAACCACCCAGAAGTTGAGTTGTTCTATACAATTTTGAATACTTTTGGACTTTTGGTCAAATTACGAAATACAAATAGTCAAACGTTTAAAGGATTTTCGTACGTCTTTCTATAATGGTCTTGCGGCAAGATTAATGGGTTTATACTAGGACTGGGAATTCGGTCCCGGTTTTTCGGTCAAACCGGAAACAGGCCAGTTTAAACCGTCCGGTTGTAACCGGAAACCGGATTCCAAGTAACCCAATCCAGTTTGCGGTTGTAGTGGTCACAGCCCGATCCGATCTGGTTAAAACCGGAAAACCGGATAGCCCAACTTGAGCCCACCCCATCTCTCCAGTAAGCCCACCTCTCTCAACAACTTAATTAGGCCGGAGCCTAGCTACAGGCCCACCAACCCTCCCAAACCCCTAAAGCCCGACTCCACAACCGTACATCGTCTCCCTCGAGCTCACACTCAAAGGCGCAGCTGCCTTTCTTCGATCTCTTCCCTTCTCTCTAATCTCTTCCACCGGCAAAGCCAAAAACCACCCTCCCATCTCCCAAATCCCACTCTATCTCACTCACCCTCTCTGCTTGCCTCTCATCCGATTCCATGGCGGCGGCGGCGACACCAAGACGATCGATTTGGAGCAACCGCAGCTCTGCCTCTCTCTTCTCAGTCTCACCAGCCGATTTGAAGCGGCCATCGCTCTGTTTCTCGCCCGGATCGAGACATGCATGACCTGCCTTCCTCTGGATTTCTCCCATATCGAAACATGCAAGACCCGCGCACGACGACGACGGTGATGATGGAGGCAGGGAGCTCTCTGGGTCCCCTACGCGTGACGGAGACGAAGCTCTTCGGCTTCCCTGCGCGCGACGACGACGAAGAAGGCAAAGAACTCTCCAGGGAGGAGAAAAGGCAGAGGAAAGATCAAGAAGGAATGGGAGTATGAGAAATTTTTGATTTCCAGAATAGAGAGAGATTGAGAAAGGTAGGGACTAGGGAGTTGTCGAGAAGTGGAGGAAGGAGATATCTTAGATCCCTCTTTACATTTTTATTTTTATTGATTTTTATTTTTCTCCCTCAATTTTTATTCAAACGACAACGTTCTGGGAGAGGTTAATGCCAGCCCAATTTTCGGTTTAAAACCGGATCGGACCCAATCCGGTTACGGTTGAAACCGGATACAATCCAATCCCGTCTCCGGTTGTGGTATTTGCCAAGACGGTTATAAAAAACCGGGTCAATTCGGTCCGGTTTCAACCAGACCGGATTGTTTCCCACCCCTAGTTTATACATCGAAGGCATTCGCGCACAATTCTCGAGATCGAGGATTGAGCTATGAGATACAGTGATAGAACAATGTGGTGAATACCCTTTAGTTTGTATTGATTTTTCGTGTTTGGATAGTGGCTGCAGATTGTTGGTGCATCTCTTGTTTGCTTGGGCATGATCGCATGTGAAGTATTTGTTCCGTGTCAAGTTAATCGTTGGGAAATCTAAAGAAAATGTTCAAGTGAATGGGAACAAGAACTTGTACTATTTCCTAGTACATTATTATTCACTCATATCCGTTATTTTGATCGTCATGTAGTCGTCGGCCTTCCCCAGCCCCTCCTTCGCCGCTTCTGGCTTGGCGAAGCTGCGAGTTCATGAGCAAGTGAATGAACAAGCCATGTTCCTAAAAGTATGTTACCATCATACTTTCTCTCCACACTTCTAATCTCCAGAGCCTCTCTTGAAAGTGGAGGAGGGAAGTCTCTTCTTGCATTTATCGATGCATTGATGGTAACATGGCGCACCACAATGCTTCAGGCATTTTTCAAAACACGCCAAGTGAGGATCATTAGCATGACATGGGAATGGTGATACCGCAACCAACAACACCACAATTGCAATTGCAAGAAACAACTTCCCGGTTGTGTTTGTCTTCACGATGCTTACCGCCATTGTTGTTCTTTTGTCACCTTGGATTCCTATTTTTGGGTTTATAATAACCTTGTACTTCTATTGGTAATTTATGGTCTTTGAAAGCACATATACTTATGTAGTGATGCCCATAAACTTAGGTTCATATCTATACAATGCATTTTTCTAGACATGGTTCAATAAATTCCAGATTTACTACCCATAAAAAAAGGAATTTCAGATTTGCAGAATCGCCACATTCAATGGTGTATGACGTCCTATGCCCTTTTTTATTATTTGGAGGAACAAACCGCCAAAGAAAGAGGAAGATACAAAGGAAAGGATGGATCTTATAACGGGTGGCGGGTAAGGCTGGAAGTTTGGTTCTAGTATTTGAAATACACTGAATATCATATTGAATATTTTGATATTTGGTATTTTTGAATATATGTGTTATTTTATGAGATTGAAATTGAATTTCAAGTGTTATTTGATATTAGAAATTACGGGATTTGAATTAATAGTATTCTAAAATACCGATTAATACCTAAAATATAAGCTAGTGTATTTTATCTCTTTCAACTAGGCTCCCTTACTCACTACTTTCAGACCCTCAATTGCGAAGTTGGTCATTTAATTACACATATAGCTTATTCCCTCACTATTTGACAACCCATATCAAACTCATTTTGTTACTTGTAGTATGTTTATACTTTATAGGTTGATTAGTCGTCTCATGTTTCATTTTGTTAATGTGCTTCTTAAGAACCACAGTTTTCTAGTTGTTGATTATTATGCTTGATTTTTTTTTTCATTTTGGTTTGCACGAGTGTTGGCACCATTGTTTTTTTTTAACTTTTTATATATATTGAGAATGGTTTGTGGACTGCTGGCAGAGGAGAATTACTTGCGTATGTAAATTTGATTTATAATTTTGAAGGGAATGAATATGGTATTTGGTATTGCCTAATACCGAATAAAATATTAGGGGTTGAGAATGGGACTCCGAATTTATTGGAGATTGAGATCGAGTTTAGAGAACTATCTGGTATTCGGGATTTTGATATTTGGTATTGGGATACCGATATCAATACCGTACCCATTTTCACCTAGTGGATACACAAATGGATCAATAGCATAAAATGCTACTTATGTTTGGTTTTACTAAAAATTGACAACTTACGCTTCAATTTTAACGAATTTGTCACATATGTTTTCACCAACTAACAAATCATTCAATCTATTAGTTTACCTCCTACACCTGGACCTTGATGTCTCCTACTTGTACAAACCAGTTCACTAGGATACTTTGGTCTGAAAACACATGAAACACTACCAAAAGTGCATCATAATAACATAAGTAATCCCAAGAACTACTAACAATGCCTTCGAGTAATTACCAAGCGTTTCCAAGATATTATAGAACTATAGATATGAAAACTATGCAAAACCTATAAAAAATATATGGGTATAAACTATTTCTTTTACGTGTCATCATCTTGAGTATATAAAAAACGGCGAAAACACTTGGAGTATAGTATACTCCAAGAGCACAATAGTCATTACCATATGTATATACAAAATTTCACAAGCTCGGTAAATCAACATAAAGTATATAGATTACATTCCCAATGAAAAGAATCGTACATGATTATTTGAAGACTATGCAACTCTGTGTGCCTCTATTATAAACTAACTTATAACCTGGCCCGTTGGCCGGAATGTTCGTATTTGAGTATTTATATTTTTATGTTATGTTTAATTATATCAATCTGTTTAATTTTACTAACAATCCTTTGATCGAGATAATACATAAAGAATGAAAGTATAGGTCAAACATTTGACGAAATACCATAATCATTTAAGAATATAAAATATAAAAATGTATCATTGATCCCATTTCATAATGATAATTAAGTCACCGCTAAAATGTTATTGGTTAATTGATTGTCAGGAAAGATAGCGTATAAAAGCCAATTGGAATTCCCACACGTCCCGCAGATAATTGGAAACTAAAACTAAAATCTCACAATCTTACATAAAGGGTTCAATGCTCTCCTTTTAGGAACAACATGCAACTAATAAAAAAAATGAAATGGAGAGTTGTTGATTCAAGTCAATAATATACTAACAACTCAACAAAAAGGGGGCCATCAAAACTTAAGAGCAAATGACAATATTAGGGTTACCTCCAATATACGAATAGACTCGAACAAAGAATAAGGCACAAAAATACACTCTTTGTCTATCAGCTCCAGTAGCTTCAATAACCATAAACCAAAAGATCTAATAGCCACCACTCTCCGTTATACATCCAACTTTTTATCCCCTCTTTCTTCAATCTCAAGTGGCATCTGTTTCAACCCAAACTTCACTTTCTAATCCTCCTCCTGCAACTCTATTTCTGCTACTTTGATGGACCTTCTCTTTGAGGCCTTCAATTTCATTTCAAATTGGCGTTCTTCTCAACTCGCTCTTCAACTCAATCCTCTTCTTGTATTTGGCCAACTCATCTTCCTTAGGGCAGTTGTAATAAGCTCGGTAAAACCAACCCTCATCTCCAATTCCATCAATATGCTCATCTCCTCCTTGATTGTCTTCACCTGCTCCAGTTCACTTCCATGCCCTTCAATACCCTCTCCATTTTTATTAATATCCTCATCATCTCTCACTTCTCTCTCTTCAACTACTCCAGTTTTGTTTCCATGTCTTTCAATATCCTCCTCAATTCGATCACTATCCTCACCAACTCCTTCTTCTCCACCTTCACCTGATGTAGTTGAACTTTACTTGATATCAAATCCAAACACGATTGCTTCCTCTACCACTTCCCTTCCAAACCTAATCCCAACTCTTCTACTCCAAGTGCAATACCCCACATCTCAATGTATTGTTGCGTGGAGGCTTAATTATAGTAATCATTATGGCTTGCACTTATATTAATGGACACTAAAAATTATCGACAAAATCAACAGTGTCTAACTAATCCTAAAAAAATATCAAAATTTGATTGGTGAGCTGGACCATTTGAATCGAGATTGATGAAGAAACATATGGTTGCGGAGAACATTAACTATGACAAAATAAAACCTCAGTGAAAACATTGTATTTGAAAAGAAACTTTTTTTATAATGGTGTTCTTATTTTATTATTCCAATATCTAAGCAAAGAATAATAAAATTAATACACCAAACAAACAACCAAGAAAGTAGATAGGGCGCTAAGAAAGTACAATTGTCCCTGTTCTACACAAACGTCTATTTGATTTCAAAAAAGTCTACCAGTTCAACTCAATGAACCTTCTGTGAAGATAGAAAACTCATTGAAGTTGAAACTTAAGAATATAAGAGGAGCAACGATGCAAGAGATCCACCGGCCTTCAAAAATTGTATTAGGCAATAGGATCAAAAGTAATAGATCTTCTGCATGTTCTGATCATAAGACAACCTGAAAAATAATTGTCGTTTTGTTATTAATCAGGAAGATAAAACCATGAGACAAAGAGAAGAAAAACGATTAACCTTGGACAAAGACCAAGACCCCATTTAAGTTCAAAGTCTGGTATAGGAAGAGGAGTAAAGCAGGAAGATATAACTGATCAAAAGAAGCAACAAAATAGTTCTTCTAGTAGTTCATCGATATATGGGAGATAGAACCATTGGGCGATGCTAGTGCGAAGGAATCAAGTGAGATAGGCCATACCCTAACTTTTTGATTGAACTCCATTCTATTCGCCATGGACTTATATCGAAGTTGAAATCTTCTACTTGCCCAGCTTCATTTCCCAACAATCAAACCGTAGTTCTAAGAGATACCAGAAGATTGATTTTCATAGGCGGCGTTGTACGAGAGGAAGTGAAGAGAGCAAACTATTGCACTATGGATGGAATTTTAGAGGATCTTAGGAAGGGACAAGAACAAAGATAAAAAAGGTAAAATGCAAGGACTCAACACATAGTAAAAGAAATAGTTTCTTCCATGCTAGCCAATTACCAATTTACCCTGAAAATGAAGAAAGTTACATGAAACTCTACTATGAAATTTGATGTATCAAGCACTATAAAAATATTTACATGAGACTTAGTGGGCTAGCTAATTATAATGGAAAAGTCCTCTGGTTTTCAAAGTTTAACTTTGTCTATGGTTTGTATTCAAAAGCTACAACAAATCTATTTATAGTATAATTGATTATACTTGTCTTTGTTTGAATAGACTCTAGTTCAAATCTTGGTATCAATATATTTTTTATATGAATTAATAAAGAATTGTAAAGACTAAAATTTCATTCCTACTTTGAAACAGAGAAAAATACACAAAATTCTACCATATACAATCGGAGGATTACAGGAATCAATACATGTGGCTACGCTATGGGACCTAAACTTGTAGCAGTATGACTGAAAGACAGAAAAAAGATCTCCATATAGAAAAAGCACGGAATAATAATTGTTTTCCTTAACTTGGCAAAACCATATGGATATCCTTGCTTGTAGAATCCAAATAAGCAAAACTCCATTTAGCCGACTGAAGTCAAAATATATACGTAAAGTGTAATATAAGAAAACATAATATATATAAATAAGGTGGCTATTTCGGGGTAATAATTTTTTTTTGGTACACACTCTAAAAGTAGTAATAAGATATGGAATTTTAAGTGGTAACATTAGTCTTTTATATGGCGATTTAACAAAGAATCACAACTAATCAATCCATTACCCTATCTCCTAAACTTTCAATTTTGAACACCAACTATAAACCTCAAATTGTGAACCCTAACACTAAATCCTAAATCATTCAAATGAAAGTAAATCTTGAATGATTTTTTTTTTTAAAATTCACTGGAGTTTTTGTAGGGTCACGGTCAACCCCCAAAAGGATTGGATAGGGTCAAGAAAGATATAGGATCGGTCCTGGCCAGTTTCACCCATAGCTGCAGGTCGTTGGGGCATCTCTTGTTTCCCTGGGCATGTTTTATTCCCCTCAAAGATAGGGGTAACAAGAGTTAAACAGAGGAGTCAAGAAAAGCGCGGGAGTCGACCAATAGTCGAACTCCCGATGAGAGGGCTTTTTGTGCCACAAGATGGGCGGCCCTATTAAGTCGACGAGAAACAAAACAGAAAGAGGTCCAACTGAATTGAGAAACCAAGACTCGAGCATCTTCAAGCACAGCACCACTCCGATCATGAGCGAAATCCTCCCTCACCATCCGCCGTATCAGTTGTTGCGAATCCCCATGAAATTTGACGGACACAAAATCATGAGTCAAACACCATTGAAGAGCATCTCGTAAAGCTAAGCACTCCATAATAAAAGGATCATGTAACCCTTCATAAAATTTTTCAAAGGCAAATAGGACATTACATGTTGGCTGGAAGCCCACGAAACCAATGCTACCACCTCGTCCGCGCTTAGCTGCCTCGTCGAACCAAACGTTAATTGCGTTGGGAGGAATTCCAGTCGATGGCTGGCCGCCATTGCCAGGTCCGTGGGTGAGCGAAAAGCCTTGTCTGGGGGAGGGTGGTGTCACCTGTTCAGCTGCCCGCCATTCCTCTAGCTGTCTCTGAAATTGACGAAACAAGGGTAGTGGTAGGTATTGAATGTGTGCGTGTACAGACCAACATCTACCTTTCCAGATCCTCCATAGAATAAAGACGACATCGGCCAGCTCAGTTTTGGACATGTTCATGGAGAAGAATAGGTGGTTCCATGCATCAGCAAGCGGCATTCCACAAAGGGTGCTCCGCAATCCTTCTCTGTTCGCCAGTAGCCATATACCTCTAGCCACCCTGCAGCCATAAAACAAATGGGAGAAAGACTCCGACTCCTCCGAACAAATGGGGCAAATCGTGGTTGAAACTAGAGTTTTCGTGAACAAGACTTCTCATGTCTGAAGAACGCTGCCATCTGGTTAGGCTGAAGAGCCTAGTTCCTCTCTCAGTACGGCATAGGTCGTGTATGGGCCGACCCTATGCCCGAATGAGAGGCGGTCCTAGGTGAGCATATCAGGCGGTCCGGACGCAGATTCACATGTGTTGCGCCGTTGTGGGGGACCTCGACAGGCTGAAGATGCAGCGGCCGAGAATGCCGTTCAACCGAGGAACTAACGCTAGCGAGAGCGTAGGGTGAAGGTCGACTGAGGTACTAGCGCAGCAGAAGCAAAGAGTGAAGGTTGATGTTGAGGGGGCGAAGCGATATGTGCGCGGGGCACAACAGGCTAGCGCGAGAACGCGACCGGAGCCTGTCCGTCAGAGGATGGTATCGTATGCGGATGCCCATAATCGGTTCGAGAGAGTTACAATACATGCTGCGGAGAGAAGCATTCTTCACCAGCACGAGGACGTACTGCATTATGATTGGTGGAGAATGTCACGACCCGAAATGTCGTGACCGTGTTGATCGTCTGAAGAACGCTGCCATCTTGTTGTCTTGCCATGAGAAGGGTAAAGGGGGAGACATTAGCGATAAGGCGTTGTCTGCCTGTGCATCGCATCTGGCCGAGTCAGGATATGGCTATGAAAGGGATCGTTGCAAGAGAAGGCACAACTGGTCGGAGGCTATTGCCGTCTCCCTGATGAGCCCAAGGCAGGGCGAAACCAGTTGGCATGCGTATGCAGAGAGGCTGGTCTTGAGGAATGAGTGCACCTCAAGACGCCGCACGGACTTCGGAAGTCTATGTCCGTGACATCACCCTCCAGAAGAAGAATTTCATTTTTGGCGGGACCGCCAAACTCCACAGCAGTTTCCAAAACCGTGAATCAAAAGGGAGTAAGGGCGGCGGGTGATAAGGTTATACTCATTAGACAACAAATGGTAACCTGATTTTACAGTATAAGCCCCAGATGAATCGTAATGCCAAATCAAGCTGTCAAATGAATGAGAAACAGGAAGAGGAATTGCCAAAATAAGATCCACACTTTCAGGCATGAATAAGGAAACTAGCAGGTCTTTCTTCCACGAATGGGAGTTAGGGCATATGAGTTCTGAGATGCGAGAAGGGAAAGAGTGCAAACCTGGTCGGAGCTTCGGACATGACGGTGGCGACGAGGGCAGCCAATTGTCCTGTAAAAGCCAAATTTGTGATCCGTCTCCAACCTGCCACCGCAGACCACGCTTGAGCAGATCTCTCCCTTCTAAGACACCCTGCCAAGCCCAGGATGGCCGTGAACCAGCTGATGCATTGAGAAAGTCGTGTACCGGGTGGTATCGGGCCTTATAGATGCGAGCAATATGGCTGGACGGGTTGAGTAGTACTCGCCAAGCCTGTTTCGCGAGGAGCCCAATGTTAAACCGATTAAAATCACGGAAACCTAATCCCCCAGTAAACTTGATTTGGCAAATAGCGCTCCAAGAAATCCAATGGATCCTGTTTTCCTTGTCTTGTCCAGCCCACCAGTACTTCGACAGCTGGCCATTGCACCTACGACAAGTTTCCTGCGGAAGACGGAAGGCCGACATTGCGTAGATTGGTCCAGCCACCCCAATAGCCTTTATTACAACTTCCTTCACCGCCAACGATAAAGTCTTATTCTTCCAACTTCTAATGCGAGACGCTAAATCTTCCTCAATGAACTAGAACGATAGGGATTTAGAACGGCGAATTTGTGAAGGGAGCCCCAGGTACCTGTCATCAGGTTGCATAATTCCCACCCCTAGGAAGGAACTAATTGAATGGAGTTCCTGATCTGAGACATTGCCACTAACACAAACAGTTGATTTGTTCAAATTAACTCTTTGTCCACTATACATTTCATAGTCAGACAGCAATTGCATCAAGTTTGCACACTCGGGAATAGAGGCTCTAAGAAAAAGGTACGAGTCATCGGCAAAAAAGAGGTGAGAGAGGAGAGAAGCTGACCTGTGAACACGTAAGTCGTGGATTGAGGAAATGGATATCTCTTGGCTGATCTTAGCTGAAAAGGCTTCCGTGTAGATGGCAAATAGTAATGGTGAAAGCGGATCTCCTTGGCGGATTCCTCGCTGGGGTTGAAAGTAACCATACTGAGCTCCATTGAGGAGAACCGACATATGGACTGTTGTGATACAGGCTTTGATCCATATCATCCACCTCTCACAGAACCCGATCGAATGCATAACCTAAAAGAGAAACTCCCATTCTAGGCGATCATACGCCTTTTCCATGTCGAGCTTGAGAGCCATCCATTTGTCCTGTCCTCGGATCTTGGTCTTCAGGAACTGCATCACTTCTTGGCTAATAAGAATGTTATCTGAAATGCATCGTCCTTCAACAAATCCATTCTGAAATGGACTAATGATATGAGGAAGGATGGAACTTAATCGTGATGCTAGAATTTTGGCAATAATTTTATACAAAACCTGACAAAGACCAATGGGTCGCATTTGCTGCATGGAGTAAGCATTTGTAACCTTTGGAATGAGGTTCAATAGTGTGTGATTCACACTATGAAGAATCAGCCCTGTTTGGAAGAAGGATAGAACGGCCTCTGAAATATCCCACCCTATCTCCCCCCAGTACCTCTGGTAGAAAGCAGCTGTGAAGCCGTCTGAACCGGGTGCTAGGCTTTACCCAATGTTGAAGATTGCCTTCCTGATTTCCAACCTGGACACCTGCATAGTGAGTTGGTTATTCATTGAATCTACCTTGAGAGGAAGATTCAAACCATGCACAAAATCTGTGGGATCCAAGCCATTTGAAGTAAATAACATTTCAAAATATGACACTGAAACTTCCCCTTTGATTGACTCATCAGTTTGCAATTCCCCATGTTCATCACGAAGGCCTAGAATAAAGTTGTTCCGCCTTCTTTTCATCGTGGTTACATGGAAGAAATGAGTGTTAGCATCACCACCTTGAAGCCAGTTCACCCTCGACTTTTGCTTCCAATACAATTCCTCTTGCTTATATGCCTCAGCGAGTTGATTTTCTAGGTTGGTGATTGCTGCCCAATCAACTGCAGCAGCCTCCCTCACAATGTCAATAGCTCCTCGGAGTTCCCGGATTTGACGAGCTGAGTTTGTCGAACCTGCCTTGGCCCATCCTAGGAGCTCCTGTCGAACATATTTTAGCTGAGATTTCACTTTGAAAAGGGGTGTTCCTCCAACTGGTTGATGCCACGCCAAGTGAACCAGGGAGGGAACAGCTGGGTTTGAATCCCAACGCTGGTCGTACTGAAATCGTCTAGCGCGATGGGCCTCATTTTTCACCAGCCGCAGCAGCAGTATTCTGTAATCAGAACCCCTGTCAGATAGATGGTAGACCTGCAAATCTGGCCACAAGGAAAGCACAAGATTATTCCCCAAACAACGGTCCAATCGTGATTGGATATGGTCACCATTAGATTGTCGGTTGGACCATGTAAACGGTGGGCCAATGAACCCCAAATCATGAAGTCCCCCAGCACCCAAGAAAAGATTAAGCTGAGCAAGTGATGTAGGGGAAGGAGGCCGACCTCCCTGCTTCTCACAGCTGGCAAGGAGACAGTTAAAATCACCTACGACAAAGACAGGATCCTCATACAAGGAAGCCATAAAAGAAATTTCATTAAGTTGAAACTTCCGGAGGCCTTCATCACACTGCAAATGCACGAAAATTACACCAAAGCGACCCAAGGAAAGGTGATCGCATTCTAAGAACAGAAATCCAAAAGACTCGACTGAAACATAACAAACTAGACTAGACGCCCAGGCAATAGCTAATCCACTACCGTTATTGGACACACTATGTACACGATCCTATGGGAATCCTAGATTACCAAGTTGCTGAATCACAAACTCATCATCTCTTCTAGTCTCACTCAAACACACCAGAAGCGGAGATTCCTAGAGGATGGTCTCCTTAAGAACCGGAATTGTCAGGGGAGCTCCCAATCCCCTACAATTCCAAGCGATTATGCTCATGGATCAGACTGGGACCGGTCCGGGCCGGTTGCCACCACCTCCAGATTCTCATTGGTACACGACTCGCGGTTGTTTGGTTCAAGACGGGCTCGCTGAGCACTTGGTTCTGCCTGCTCGTGAATCATCAAGGCTTGTTGCTGGATATCTTCCAAAGGGATGGGTAAGGATGCATTCAGCGGAGCAGAGATGCAAAGCTGCCCCATGTGAGATGCCATACCCAGATGTAGCATGGCAGACTGACGAGTCCCTCCTTGAGCCCTGATTTGGGATGATCCCTTGCTGCGGGGAGCAGCTGCCGCTCGAGCCCCAGACCGATTCCCGCCCAGTGTCCACACGAAGCACCTAGGCCTACGAACCAGCATATCCTCAGTCACTCTCGGGCCAAACTCCCGAGCCACCAACTGCTTCCCATATCTCGGGGCTGCCCAGCCAGTTCATCCTTCCTCGGGCAAATTCTGTTCACATGGCCAATTATCCCACAAAGAAAGCAAAATTGGGGAAGTGACTCATACTTCACCTTGGCTTTGAAGTTCCCTTTCGAGGGATCCTCATGAGTAGCAGAGACCTCATCTGGAAGAGGGAGTAGCAGGTCGAGGTTGATCTTCGTCTTGAGGTAGAGGCCGCCGGAGGTTACTGATCGGTGGATTGTGGCCGCCTCCGCGGGACCCATGGCAGCCCCCATCATTGAGCTGAGTCTCTCAGTGCAGCAATAATAAGGAACTCTGACTCACTCCTACTGTCACTCTAGAAAATGGCCAAGTGAAACCACTTCCTAAAGCGTAGTATAGCGGGTTTGGGTTTTAATGTCAACCCGGGTCCTAGATTTGATGACTACTGAGCGAATTCTTATTATCTAGCGGTAAAACTTAAGTGCAGGTTCAAACAAACAAAAACACAAAGCAAGTTAAACGGTTGTTTCAAGTCAAGAGAGGTCATCTGGATATGGTTCCCCCTAAACTGCAGTTAAGCCGGATTGCAATTCACCAAGTTCAATTTCTATGATAGTTATACTACGGAAGGTTCTTAAACAGTCTGAAGTCTCGACTAAAGGTCTCCAGACCCTCTCAATCTGAGTCTCTAGCGGGCGACTAACCTCCACCGGAGTAAACAGATTGAGGCCCTAACGAACAAAACCTCCACTACCGAAGTAAATTCGGTACAGAATAGTGAATTGGTTCCTCGACTAAAGTCGCCAATTCACTACCTTCAATTAAGGGTGCTCTATCAACCTAGGCAGATATTCTCATTCTAGGTTAAAGCAGAAACAGTAGGAATTTGATTAGGATTCATGTCATTCAATCATTCAAACCTCAATTGAAAATAATCAAATCATAGAATCTGTACTTGCGTTCATACAATCAAACCTAACATACAAATCTAGGGTTTCCCATACCCAGATGAATGGGAGAACTACTCCATGGAGAAAGAAGCAAAAGCAGATTCAGATGCCGAAACCATATTGTGAAGGATGGATTTCTGCTCCTGGGCGTTGATCGGCACTACTCCAAGCTCAAACCAAGCTCCAATGGTGATGAAGATCAAGTTAGGGCACTTGGGAACTCTTGTTCTTCGCTTTCTCTCTCTAGGAATCGCTCTGTCTCTCTAAAACTTGAATCCCCTTCTCTTTTGGCTGAAATCTGCCTAAAAGGGCATCACTGGCCAAAACACGGTCGAGGGCACGGCCGTGCTTTGCTCTAGTCCGCCCGTGCCCTTGCCACATGGTAAATAAACGGCCAGACTTTGGGGAAAACACGGGCGTGCTTTTTGATGGACACGGCCGTGTTTTGGGTCAGTCCCGCCCGTGTTTTGAGCTAGTGTTTGACAGTCTTGGACCAAGCCTCGGCAGTAAAAACACGATCCATGAACACGGTCGTGCTTTGATTTAGGCGTGCCCGTGTTTTGGCTCCAGCTCGACCGAATGACTTCCGAATGCCCCGAAACTCGTGCTTAGCCTTTCCTTCGACGTCTGGGACCTGAAATATGACAAAGTAGCACAACCCGGCGTAAAATAGGCCAAAAATACACGACTATGCCCCTCAAACGGATAAGAACTAGGGCTGCAAATATGTGCAATTACATCGTTATCAAACTCCCCGGATTTGGGCCACGAGAGGCACCCGGATGAGTTCCACTGCTAACTCGGCCATTGGTGTTTCCCACTTCTTCACCTGAATGAGAAACTTCTCAAACACCCATGGCGTCCCTTTCAGAATACGTTGGGCAGTCTGGGCGTCGGGAAGTACGAATTGGAGAAGATCCCATGAAGAATTTGATGACGCGGAATTGAAAATAACACGGGACAACGAGTTTTACGTGGTATCCTCGATCGATTGATTGATCGAGACTAATCCACGGTGAGCTCGGAACGAGCTCACGGCTGACGATTTTATTATGAGACTACATTGTGACGGCTTGCTTATGACAGAACCATAGCTAAGCTTTTATAGAGAACGACTTAGGGTTAAAACCCTAAAGACAACCAAGTTCCATCTTTTACCCGGACAAGGAAACAAGGGACTTGTTGGACAAGGAATTAATTACATTTTGACTAAGTAATTAATATACTCAACACTCCCCCTCAAGCGAAGACATGAATGACAAGAATGTCGAGCTTGAAGCTGAACAACACTCAAACAACCTCTTGCTGGCAATGACGATCCAACAGGCGGTGACTTTGTTTGCTTGTGGGAGAGGTAGACAAATGATGAAACTACTCCATGCTTGACCCAGTTCTTTTGACAGTGAACTCAGCATGGTGAAATTCCTTGACGTCTTGGATGAGACTGATCCGACTCCATGCTTGACCTAGTTCAACAATAGTGAACTCCACATGGTGGAATTACCTTGACGTGTTGGATGAGACTGATGACTGCGTTGCTGACTTTGGAGACTTCTAAATGCACTGCTGACAGTGCTTCTCCGAGCAACGTGACTGAGTTGGTACATCGCGGTCGACTTGATGACTGAGCTAGTCGACCGACGTATGTTGACTCCCTATTCTCCCCCTCAAGCTGGAGCATGAACAATGTGAATGCCCAGCTTGAAAGTTAGAACGATGATGACTCAACATTGACCGATGCTGAACGTGGAGGGGACGATCGCTTCTTTGATCGTGACTGCCTCGCTTGATAACTTGAACTTCTTTATTGACGAAAGTTGTGTCTCCCCAACACTAGCAATTGAACGGACGACCACGGCAGGTCGCGATTGTCTTCAATGCCATGACTTTAATCGATGTTGGTGAAGATTTTCCTCTCTAAGTGACCTTGACCGGCCATAATGACAACTTGACTCCAGCTGTGGACAAAGTATGAATTCCACGGCACACCTCGTGGGCTGTAAACTTCGGAAGTATCCCTGAACTGAGTGTTGATGGTGAGGATACTAGTCACAATAAACAAGCTGGACAAAGCACATGTGACTACGTGTGCAATAAATTATGGAATCAATGAAGGAATAGGTCACCAAAAGCAAACAAACTCTATGCTGCCACAGTTTCTCCCAAAACTGATCCTTGTGCACTGCGAACACCACCACAACCACCATAAACATTAACCTGGACCACGTGCAATGCCAATGCCCCACGACAAATTGTGATTGCTCGCCGGAACGATGACAAGTAAATTATGGTGACCCACCAACCGGTCTTCACTCCCCAAGTCGTCCTCGTCAAAGTCCTCACATCGGCGCCCTCGTCAGGTTGATTGAAATCCAATGGCCGTCGAAAATCGTCGGGCGGTGACTTCTCGACAAAACCTGCCTCTTGATTTTCACAAGCTGAACGAGAGTCACCCCCACGGTTGTGATTTGATTGAAACGCTCCCGGCGCCTGATCTGATTCTGTTTGAGCTTGGCCTTCCTGTTGCCAACGACGAACAAGACTTCGGACGAGGACAGCGCCAATCGAGACGAAGAAGAACAGACCGAGCAGTAGCGAACTCATGATCGCCATGGATGGCAGCTGGACTGCGGGCTATGGATTTGCCTTGAACGGCAACTGGGCGATGAGAAACAAATCAGAACTGGCAGCGGCAGTGCTGCGATGACTCCAGCTCTGTTGCGGTTGACGATGAGGCTAGTAAAGAGCCGCTATGGCAATTCCGGAGACGCGACTGCCACTATCTCGTTAGACTGAAGACCTGGGACACAAAGGCGACTACCACCTACGAGAAAAAAAACCACAATTTTTCACCGGGAGTTCAGCGGTGTCGGTAGGATTGACGACGACTAAAGGATGCCGAGGGCGCTGATGGCATGGACAGCGACCGAGACAGAATTGTAGGCCGGTATGAACCTCGGATCTCCTAATGAAAACAACCATGAATGGCTTGCGATTGATGACTCACGGCGGAATGGACTTCGCCTAGGTCGACTATGCTCAGCGGTATAACATCGCTGATGAACAAAACAGGCCAGCGGGATGACGATCGCTGGTGCGCGGAAGACTAGCTGAATCTACAGCTCTGATACCATGAAGAATTTGATGACGCAGAATTGAAAATAACACGGGACAACGAGTTTTACGTGGTATCCTCGATCGATTGATTGATCGAGACTAATCCACGGTGAGCTCGGAACGAGCTCACGGCTGACGATTTTATTATGAGACTACATTGTGACGGCTTGCTTATCACAGAACCATAGCTAAGCTTTTATAGAGAACGACTTAGGGTTAAACCCCTAAAGACAACCAAGTTCCCTCTTTTACCCGGACAAGGAAACAAAAGACTTGTTGGACAAGGAATTAATTACATTTTGACTAAGTAATTAATATCCTCAACATCCCATTCCACAACCGCTATCGAGCAATCGCATTTCCAGACCCTCCCAACAATAGTTCTTAGCGTCGGGAGAGAAGGGAGTGGCCCACAGAGCCGGCCAATTAGCGTTTGGTCAATTCGAAGAGCACCCACTGCAACATCCGCATCGTTGAATTGAACAACAGCCATGGTAACTGATTGTTCGATTCGGACTTGAAAACTTATGCCGTGAGAGGAGACTTTTGCAGAGGAACAGAGCGGTGAGGATTCAATCGCACGATGCTGGAATCCCCCTTTTATCCCTACTCCGATGAGGGAGTGCCGGAACCGGCGGGGTACGAGGACGGGAACCGTTGTCACCATTGTCGCACGAAGGCGAAACGCCCACCCACTCGCCCAAGGTGGGGAGAGAGGGGAGAGGATTAGGTTTTTTTTTTTTTTTTCCTTCCCTGGGCATGTTAATCGTAGGAAAATCTGAAGGAAGTGATTGCATGAAAAGGGAACCAGAACTCGTATTATTTCATATATAGTACATTATTATTCACTCATATCCCTTATTTTGATCATCACATATACTTCTAATCACCGGAGCCTCTCTTGAAGGTGGAGGAGGGAAGTGGCATCTTGCATTTGTCGACACACCAGTCGTAATATGGCGTACCGTAATGCTTCAGGCATTTTTCAAAACACACCAAGTGAGGATCATTAGCATGACATGGGAATGGTGACGCCGCAACCAACAACACCACAATTGCAATTGCAAGAAACAACTTCCCGGTTGTGTTTGCCTTCATGATGGTCACCCCCATTGTTGTTCTTCTTTCACCTTGGATTACTATGTTTGGTTTTTATAATAACCTTGCACTTATATTGGTAGTTTGTGGTCTTCGAATCCTTATATAGTGATGCCCATAAACTAAGCTCCATGTCTATCCAACGCATTTTCACGCTTATCTAGAGATGGTTCAATAAATTTCAGATTTACTTTCCTTCAAAAAAGGAATTTCAGATTCCCCACATTCAATGGTACGTTTGACCCTATGCCTTTATTTATTCTTTGGAGGAACAAACCGCCAAAGAAGGAAGATACAAAGGATGGATCCTAGAGTGGGTAGTGGATACACTAGTGAGTCAAATAACATGAATTGTAACGTCATAGTGGAGGTTGTATCGGAAAATTAACGATAGAATATTTTATGCTGAAATCATGGTTTCACCGTGCACTACAAAAAAAGCAGTCATTACCGACGCCACATTTTTCGTCGAAATAAATCAATTTGCGTTGGAAATGACATTTTCCAACGACATACAGTCGTCAGAAATTGTCCCATCGCTAATAAAATATTACTGACCAAGCAGAGAAGTTAAGGATAGAATATTTTATGCTGAAATCATGGTTTCATCGTGGTTCAACCATTTCATACTGCTAAATATGATTTTTCAATCCTTAGTCAATTGTATACAAAGTCATTTACTTTTGAATTTACTAACAAATTGGTTACTTATGTTTAAAATATTTTCACTAGGTAACGAATCAGTTAGTTCTTATCCTAATTTGTCACATCATCATGCAACATTCTCAAATTTAAATTAAAAAAAGTTACTGACACGCTAAAACACAACACCAAAATGCGACCAAGTGTAATCGCAGTCCGGAAATGCAGTAAGTGGCAAGCTCTAATTATCAACCCGGGGTCTAGATCTACTGTCCACTCCGTGATTATTTATTATCTAGCAAACTAAGTCGAGTGATTATGATTTTAACTAAAAGCAGTAAGAAAGCAGGAAATGATTCAAAGTTCTTTAGCAAGGGAAGAGTCACTCGGGAATGAGTCCCCCTAGCTCCATAGTTAGGTCGAGGTTGTAATTACCATGGGTTGATTAACTGTTGATTAAACTGCGGAAGGTCCGACAGTAGCTGGAATCTCTTAAGCTTACCAAGCCATCTCAGGCAGGCTAACCGGCAGGCGACTAACCTTCAACGGGATAGACTGCTGAGGCAATAAGCACAGAACTCCACTACTGGAATCAGGTTCCAGTACAAAGAAGTAAATCGATTAACTCTCGTATAACCAATCTACCACTACCGATTGATGAAGCTCTAACAACCTAATCAGATTCTATCTATCTCAGGTTGCAGCAGAAATCAAGAAAAGATGATCAGACTTCAATTGACTCAATGAATCATGCATCAATCGATTATAACCAATCAGTATATCAATCCCAAGTCATTACAATCAAGATTCCTAACACATGAAACTAGGGTTCTTCATACCCAAGTGAGAGAGGGTTCTACTCCATAAAGAGAGAGAGGAAAACAGAAATTAGAGTAGTCATACTCATAAATATGAGGAAAATATGCTCTGGGATGTCGATCTTCATTCCTGGGGATGCAATCTGGGCTTCAATGGTGAGAAATCCACTCCAAATAGCTCCTAGGGTTTGTTCTTCGCACTTTCTCTCTCTAAAACTCTGTTTCTTGCCCAAAAACTCCATTCCCCCGTCCTTAGGCTCGAAATTGGGTTAAAACCCAGAATTTCCGGACCACACGCCCATGTGGTTTCCCAGTCTGCCCGTGTGAGTACCAAAACGCGGCGTTCCATTTAAGAAGCTTCATGAACGCTGCACGGCCAGAAATGCATGGCCGTGTGAAATCTCGGCCTGACCGTGTGAGCTCCCTGGAATTTTCACACGGCCTCAAGGGACCCAATACACAGCCAGTGTGTCTTGCCCGCGTAATGGGATTTCACACGACCACACCACACGATCGTGTGGCTGGTAGGTATGGCCGTGTGGATTCCTCAACTTATCGCCAACCGTCCAACTTTCGTCCAATCGACCCCGAACTCGTTCCCAAACTTCCAATCACGTACTAGGACCTGAAATAACACAAAAGAGAACAAGCTAGCGTGAAATCGGCCTAAGATACGAGAAATGAGGCTCAAACAGCATAAGAATGGTGGATAAAAACATGTGTATATATCAAGTCATCAAACTCCCCCACACTTAACCGTTTGCTTGTCCCCAAGCAAACCAAGTCAGATACAAGGTAAGCTTAACACAATTCAATCATACCAACTTTGAGGACAAATCATATAGGCACAGAATACGTGAATCATACCGGCTTTTGATCATTGACATATGGACAACTCAACAACAACATGGACAACCACCACAAAGGACATTCGAGTGCAGCAAAATCGGGTAAAGGAAGAGGAATCCTTTCTAGTCACCAACCAACATAGACTCGACTCAAACACTTAACCAAGACAGTCAGCGCATGCATCAAACTCAAGACATCAGAATCAAGACCGAGCCAGAATGCTAAGAAACACAAGGTTCCACAGTTCCAAACCAACACATTCACAACCAATCAAACCAGGAACTTTCTTTTTGCCATTATGCATTACTCAAATTATCTAAAGCACAAGAGCGAAGGAGGTCACAATAATGTTAGTATTTCTAAGCCAGAATGCTAAGAAACACTACTTAATGAGGATGATTCAGATTTTTAGTAGTGGCTCTCTTTTGCTTTCATTCATTTTTTTTTCTTTTTTTTATTTCTTGAGAGAACCACCACCTTTTCACAATTTTCAAACACACGCCCAAATTTTAAGCAATACCTCCAACACTCACACTATATTTAGCAGAAACAGCAGAGAACATGCAAAAACCACTCTGTGGAACCTTCTAGGAGATGCAAAAAGGTGATTTTACATTGTAGACCGAAAGAAAGGAAAGTACACGGCTCAAAGGGGCTAACTAGCGGGTATGACACACCAGGACAGTCAATTCGGTCGTGGGCCATTCCTATGCCTCCATCATCTCAGCTAGTGACAACGTGAATGCTACACATCATGGAAGAGAGATCTATCACACAAGAAAGAAACGAGCATGCTCAAATCTCACATGGCCACCTATATGCTCTATCTCTCATTCTGATTCCCTGAAATAGATGCAAAAACGACTGTCAAAAGCAAGTTATCAATCCAAGTCACAGTTGATAAGCAAACAGTTGAAAAACTAAACTCTTAAACAATTCTATTGCATGTCTCAGTCATCATTATAGGTTGTCTAGTCACAATCCAAATGTCATGCATAAATTCGAAAGACATTCGATTTACCAATTAAACCCACAGTGCCAATATGATCAAGCAAACAGTAGTACTTGGAGCCCTCAAATCTCGAGAGT